CGATCTCACTCTCGATCTCACTATCGAAATCACTCAGCGGGACACCACCACGGGACACCTCGGGGCACCACACCGATCTCAGTATCGATCTCACTATCGATCTCACCCAACGGGACACCACGGGACACCTGTCGATCTCACTATCGATCTCGCGATCGATCTCACTCAACGGGACACCACGGGACACCTCGTGGCACCACATCGATCTCACTACCGGTCTCACTATCGATCTCACTATCGATCTCATTCAGCGGGACACCACGGGACACCCGCGGGACACCGGCGGGACACCGCGGGGCACCGGACGCTGGAGGAGTTACATTTGGTCTGGCCGCGGCCCAGCCACAGGAAGATTTCGGGACACTGGCGGGGCACCGGCGGGACACCGCGGGGCACCGGCCGCCGGAGGAGTTACATTTGGTCCGGCCGCGGCCCAGCCACAGGAGGATTTCCTCTCGCCCGCCCACGCAGCTTCGCCTCGCCCGCACGCACGCACGGCACGCACGACACGAACCCGAAACCGAAATCGATTTACCGGTAGGGGGGTCTCCGTTTCACGTCGGACTCACCCCCCAACCTCCGAGTAATAGATGTATGTATACATGCGTACACACATGTCCTTCTCCATCGGGGCAAAACGTCGGCACCACCATCGGGACAATCATCCAGACAACCATCGGGACAAGTATCGAGGCAACCATCCATCGGGAAAACCTTTTACATCGGGACAACCAGATACCGCGGGACAAACAATCGGGACAACCATCGGGACAACCACGAGCGGAACTTGTTGGTGAGACGTGGCCCCTACTTAGGCTGGAACTCGCTCAACTTCGCCTCGCCGAACCCACACGTACGTGTCGCACGGCACGAACGACACGAAACGATTTCCCCGTTGGGGAACCTCAAGTTCAGCAACCTCCATTATATATATATATATATATATCTACACATACATACATACCTATACGACCACCCTTCGGCTTATATGGATGTTGTGGGAGGGAGTTCAGCTTTCGCTTTGCGATTGGGGGCGGATCGGATTCGGCGGAAACCAGCTGGGCACCACGAAGAACATTGTTGGCCATGTATCAATCGATCTCACTCTCGATCTACATGCCAATCTCACGATTCGTCTCCCTCTATCTATCAATATCGCTACCTATCGATGTCACAGTCGACCTCGCTATCGATCTCACGATCGATTTGACTTTCGATCTCACGATCGACTTCATTAACGATCTCACTAGTGGTCTCACGGGACACCACGGGGCACCATAGGACACAACGCCACCTGACACCACGGAGCACCACGGAACACCACGAGGCACCATGGGACACCAGTGGGACACCCCCGAGCCACCGCCGGCCAACCGGGGGGCGTAGAGTCATTGAGCTCAGTTTTGCCCTAGCCACGGCGCGTTCATTCCTCTCGCCGTCCCACTCAGCTTCGCCTCGCCCGCACACACGACACGAACACGACACCTAAACCGATTCCCTGGTCGTGGGTCTCAATTTCACTTCGAAATCACTCCCCAATCTCCGATATATGTATGCATGTATGTTAGGAATAAATGCACCTGTGCGACTGCATAAATATAGCATGTATGTATCTTTATGTAGGTGCATATATATATATATATATATACATATATACATATATACACCTCACTGACCACCCTATATATATGTATGTATATATACATATATATCTATACCTCACAGGCCACCCTTCGCGGGTGATGGGAAGGTGGCGGGCGGGACATCACCAGCGACGTGCATTGGACGCACACTTCACATGGCGAGTTCACACGCGCTGGGGTAGCAAGACGGATTTTCACCCAGACTGCGCTCCCAAACGCAGCGGCTCTGTGAGCTCGATGGGCCGTATAGGGCTGATAAGAATGGGATAATCGGGCTCATAAGGGTTCTGAAGCCTAAACGCCTTACAAGGCTCATCTGGCGTATAGTGCTTATACGGCTTATAGAGCTTCGATTGGCTGCATTGCAAGGCCTATGGGGCTTACACAACACACAGAACTTACAATCGGGGCGTTGACCTGAGGAACCCTAAATAAGGAACGAGGCCCCCCTTTTCCATAATTAATCTTCGATTTCCGGTCGAAACATAAGCCTGAGGCAAGCTGTGGAACACTTAAGGAACGCGGAGCCCCTCCCCAACGAAAAGGGTTCCTTCTTCAGGGCCCGGACTGTATAGGGCGCACAGGGCTTACACCGAATGATAAGGCTTATGGCGCGTGCAGGTCTTAGAGCTTACTGAGCTCATATGGCTTCTAGCGCTGATAGAGCTCACTGGGGTCGTAAAGCTTGTAAGGTTTATGATGCTTACAAGGCTGCTGATCTTGAGGAAACAAAGGCGATAAGGTCTAGCTCGTAGCTCTCCCCGGGTTCATTGTTAACATTATTCTTAATATTACCATTAGTGTCCTTGCAAGGTTCGTAGGAACTAAAAACTGCAACTTGAAGCTGAACCTGCTCCGTGACCTTGTCCGGATCATTGCTCATATTCAGCACGTGAAGCTTGTAGGGCGTAAAGGTTTATCGGGTTTATAACACTCATGAAACTTTATAGCTTACACGTTCACAGGGCCTACGGCGCATATGATCTGAACGGGGTTGCATGATTGCCAACCCTTCGGGCATATGGGGCTTATAGGGCTCAGAAGGCTTGTGAGGCTTATTGGGCTTATACGGCTTCTAAAGCTTATGGTGCTTATAGGGAGCCGTACAGGCTTCTACCGCTTGTAGAGCGCATGGGGATTGTTTTGGCATTATGAAGCGCATATTCGGCCTATGGACCTGATAGGACTCGCAGGGGCCATAGGACTCATATGACTTGACCTTGTAAGGAGTATAAGGCATATCGGGCTCATCAAGCTCATGCTGCGTCTAGACGTGGATGTGGTATCACTTATAGGGCGTCTTGGGCTCACCGGGGTTTTATGGCTGATTGGTCTTATATGGCCTACACGGCTGATCAATGCTCTAGGGCTTACCTTAACACAAGAACGCGCTCGCGTAAGCCAATGACCTCATAATATCAGATCCGCGTAGCATCCAACATGGGCGCATCAGAGCGTAACAGCACTAGAGCGTACGACATCAAGGTGCATGTTCACATGTTTATTCCACACGGTCTCACGCTGGCCTCCAAGATGGCCCAATACACCACAATATAATACAGGCAAGCCAACACCAACAAAACATTGTACCCTGCATTGCCCTCTATAGATTACCAATCCTTCCTGGACACGGCGCAGGGTGATCGAGATCAAGATGGCGCCCAGTCCCAAGAGAGCGCCACGAAGTAGTACAGGCTCAACAGACGCAACAACACTCGTACTAGTACCCCGCCTCGGGACAACCATCGGGACAACCACCAGGAAGACGACCATCGGGACTGCCATGGGGACAACCATCGGTGAGACAAACATCGTGACCACTATCGGGACAACCATCGGGGCTCTATCGGGACAACCATCGGTACAACCATCGGTACAACCAACGGGACCAGTAGCGGGACAACCAACGGGACAAGTAGCAGGACAACCATCGGGACCATCAACGGGACAGCCATCGCAGCAGGACAACCATGTGGACAAGCATCGGGACCATCATCGGGGCAACCATCGGGAGACACATCGGAAGAAACATCGGGACAAACATTGGGACGACTACCAACCGGTGCAACCATGGGGACAACCAGGGGGGGCACGCCCTGGATCTGGGGGGCGCAACGTGCTGGTCTGACGTGGCCCCTACCAGGGCAGGAATTCGCTCAACTTCGCCTCGCCTCGCACGCACGCGCGTCACGCACGAAACGAACCGATTTCCCGGTTGGGGCACCTCACGGTTCACTTCGGCCTCTCCTCCACCACACACACATGATGCCGGAGAAAAACCCCAATCAGATTTTTGTTAGGGCTATAGGGCCATAGGGCTATAGGCCTATTGGGCTATAGGGCTATACGGCTATCGGGCTATAGGGCTATCGGGCTATAGGGCTATAGGACTGTGACCTATAGGGCCGTAGGGCTATAGGGCTATAGGGCTATGGAGCTATATGGGCTATGGGGCTATAGGGCTATAGGGATATAAGGCTATTAGGGCTATAGGGATATAAGGCTATAGGGCTACAGGGCTATAGGGCTATACGGCTATAGGGCTATAAGGCTACTGGGCTATTGGGCTATTGGGCACCCCGGGGCACCCGGGCACCCCCGGGCACCCGGGCACCCCCGGGCCCCCGGGCCCCCGGGCACCCGGGCCCAGCCACCGAAATCGGCCACCCGGGCACCCCCGGGCACCCAGGCACCCGGCCCCGGCCACCGAAATCGGCCGCCGACCTCACCTCAGCTTTATATCCGCTAGGACCCCTACAGAAGCAAGCTCTGATTGGGGAGTATAGATGTATACACTCATATATACACGCATATATGCATGTACATCTAAATATAGGTATACGTATACATATGTACATGCACAGAAGTATTCTACATATATATTATATATATGTATATATATATATATATGCATGTACATCTGTATGTGTGTACAAACATATCAGTATCTACCACACTGCTTTGGCGCTTCGCACAAAGGTGGAGTGGGAGTTGGGTACGCATCACGACGACATGGGAAATCAGTAGGTGCTGGGGGGGGGCTGCGTGTACAACCATATATATATACACATATGAAGAGAGACATACGCATACATGTAAATATAAAGAGAGATATATATAGAGAGAGAGACACAGAAAGAGAGAGACAACGAGAGGCTGAGAGAGAGAGAGAGAGAAATATCGAACTGTAATCATGCACAAAGAAAGACAAAGAGAGAGAGAGATAACAAACAAACAACAGAGTAGAGCGGATAGACCATGTGAGGTTATATATCGGGACACCATGTTTCACGTGTGCTGATACCGCGCTGGGGTTGGCGCCATTCGACCAGACTCTCACGAGGACGTGAGCGAGACCTACCGCACCACGTATGCCAGGCCATCCTTCACCAGGACCCTGGCCACAGGCATTGGGGACTCCGGAGGCGACAAGCTCATCGACTGGGATGCCGTTGACCTCCTGCTCCACCCCGAGACCTCTTCGGAGCTACTCACTGAGCGCTCCGCCATCTTGGACGCCCGCATTCGTGGCCCGGAGCTCTCCGGTTCCGAGGGCGTGTGCCTCTCCTCCAGCTTCTCCGCCAGCAGCCTCCTCATGAGCAGCAGTTCCTCCACGCGGGGGCCCTCTCCCACCTCGGGCGGGTGGCAACAGGGGGTGACCTACGTGGGGGGGTGAAGAAAGGAGCCCTGAAGGAGCCCTTTGGGGCCCCCTTTTGGAAAAGGCAAAGGACCCAGACCCCATGACGTGGTGATTTTTCGCCACGTCGACCCCCAGAGGTCTGGACCCGCTCCCCAGGACCGGAGTTCCATCCCGGGTCGCTTTTTGGCGGTCCCGAGGCATGGCAGGAGCCCCCGGAGGGCAAGCGCAGAGCAGAACCTCCTCACCACGCGAGGGGGTCTGGGGGCCCATGGAGGCCCCCCCCCCTTTACACCACCCCTCCCGACCGCCTTGCCGTGCGCGGTCGCGGTGGCGGCCCTGCTCGCCCGCGCCGGCGCGGCCGCCGCAGGCCGGCTCGCGGCCAGCATGCTGCGGAGCTGCAGCGCCTGCCTGGGAGGAGCGGAGGAGAGTCCGCCAGCCTCGGGCGTGCCACGTGTCCCCAAGGTCGGCAAGCCCAGGGCGACGACAAGCCCCAGGATGTGCCCTCTGGAGCCGAGGGGATCCCGAAGACCAGCACCGAGGTCAGGGGATGCTAAGCATAGGGATGGGGAGACCAGTATGTTTCAAGCTGGGAATCAATGACGTGACCTCCGAAAGTTGATCTTGCCATTGCTCGGACGTCCATTCCCCGTGCATCGTTCGAATTCGGGTGGCTTCTGATTCCGCAAGAGGATCCGGTATGCTCCTCGATGGTCCTCCCAGATGGAAAAAATGTATATGTCCGAGGGATGCCAGGCATTGCTCCCCGGCTGCCGCTCGAGGTCCCCGTGGAGCGCGCCCGCGTTGCCCGAGGCCTCCGCCCGGCGCCTGGTCCCCTGCAGGGCCATCGAGCGGTGCGCGCCGGTGCGGAGCGCAGACATGCCTCCGGGCGCCGCAGCGGGCGCGCCGCAACTGTCCAGGATGCGGGTCGGTGAGATGACTACCTACCAGACCACCCCAACCCAACCCGAAGACCCGAATTTCGGGTTGGAGGGGGTACGGGTTCCATATGGGTTTTCTCAGAATGTTCCCCGACCTCCCCACACTGGAAATGGAGGGCAAACTGAGGCCTTCGGCTTGGGTTGGGGTGGTTTGGTGGGTGGTGAAGTGAGAGGCGGGGCTGTCGCAGGACGACGCCATGGCAGGGACAGACGCGGACCAGTACCAAAAGGAAACAAAAACGTCACCGATATAAGCTTTTGGCGCTCAGCGCAGATTCTCGGAGCTGCGCCGGGACCCCCCTCCCTGGCGCGCGGAGCGTGCCAGGGGCGGCGCCGGAGGCGCCGCCGGGGGAGCCCAGCGCGGATCCAAGGAATCTGCGCGGAGAGCCGAAAGTTTATGTTAATGTGGTTTTTTCTTCGAACCAGGACGCTTTGGGGATCTCTGAGATCTGGCGGTCCTGGCGGATGTATGGGGCACCGCGGCTTTCCCAGAGCCGTCAAGAACGCTCTGGGAGCCTTCGGGAACGCTCAGGAACGATTGATCCCTGTCCCAGCCCCGCCCGATGTCGGCAAACCCGGCAGTATGCGGCCGTGCCTTCGGCTGAAAAATGGCTTTTACCGAGGTGGCTCAAACTAGAAAACGGCCATGGGCAATATTTTGCGAATTGCGCGCTTAAGCTTAAGACCCAGCCTACCTGTCAAGCTATAACTTAGCTCTGCAGCAAGCGCAAGAGCCCTCAAGATCTAAATGAGCAAGGCTCTCTTGAATTACGTGGTACCCAAAAAGACCTTGTGCTTCCAAGTCCACATTCATGACTGGGCCTGGCGAAAATCTTCAGTTACTTTCGTGAACACGCTGAGTGGCAACGCTCACTCCTGCCAGGAACAAACGACACTTGCATGGAGGTCCACACCACGCACAATGCCCGTGCAAGTTCCCCTGGAAGCCCTAGGGCTCCTCACAAACAGACCGCATCAGCAGTGCGTGTCTCGTGCATTCCCCTGGCACGGGGTGGAACCCAAAACGGACACCGAGGCTCGGGAGGTCGCCGCTGCCGGCCTCTATGTGGTCGACGAAGCCCTCCAGAGGTTTCCCAAGGCGGCCCCAGGACGCGGCCCAAGACAACCAAGGAGGGTCCCCAAGACGACCTCGGTACCCCCCAGAGCACCACAGGCCTGCCCAAGCACCCCCTGATGACCTCTCCGATCGTTCCGTTTGCCCTCACCAGCCCTCCTGGAGTGCCTGCGGACGGCTGTGTCATACGCCAGCAAGGCTCGCAAGCTATCGTTTTCCGTGGCGTGCTGATCAAGCTGGTCCTCTTCACCTGGGCTCTTCTGAAAAGCGCCGGGGGCGTTTGGCGGCCGTTTTTGCACTTTGGGCTCTTGACAATCTAAAAAAATGCGACGGTGTTTCAGCGCTTTTAGCTCCGTCTTGTTTGTTTGCGTTTCTAGGCCCGTCGCTGTGGATCATGCTTTGTTTAGTAACTGTTGTTTTCTGGTCGAAAGCTGTCCCTCGTCTTCCCTACGGTCTCCGCTCCCGCTTTTTCGTTTCTGCCACCGGTCTCCCTCTCAGAGCTCAAACTGTACAAAACAATGCTTTCAATACTGGTCTATCACCGGCCCGAAACAAGCCCGGAGGCCCGATGGCCCCAGGAGGGGCAATCGGCCATCGGGCTCGCCAGACTGCGCGCCAGGAGAAGGACTGCACGTTGGGAGAAGGAACTTGGGACGTCGTAGACGGCAATGTTAAAGAATGCAACCCACTGATCTGAAAACGACGAAAAACACCTAGCTGACAACGCAACAATGAAAAGCTTGTGTTAGCACTTATCGTTCTCCTGTTGGGACCTAAAATCGGAATATTCTGGGAACCTGCTTCGCCCGGGTCCCAGGCACTGACGAGGTCCATGACCGTTTCTTCCGCATGTGACTTGACATGCACCCACCGCCCGCACAGAGGAGTCAAAGTCTTGTGGCCCCGATTGTCGACCCCGCCCGCGCGGTATGCATGCGTCCATCAGCACTTCATCGCCCCTTGTCCAGGAGGTCTCCACCGGGCTTCTCGGGAAGTCTGTCCTGGGAGGTGGCCTCGAGAGGTCTCCCCGAGAGGCCCCCAGAGGACTCATGGAGGCCCCCATTGAACAAAAACGTCCAGCAGTCTCGGTCATGTATCCTCTGCCATCCTCATCCCGTCCTCACTTTTTTTCGTATGTTGTTTATATTACTTTTAGTTGTTATTTTGTGTTTGTTTTTACTGTTTGTTTTTTACCCATCCTCACCCCTCTTGGCGGCCAGAGGAGGCCCGACAGAAGGCCCAATCGATCCAGACACCTCGACCATCGATCCTCTGGCCTCCCCCTGGTGGCCTCAGGACGTCGACGCGCAAGAGGAGGCTGTGCGATGAGAGCAAACCTCTATGAAGTCAGGGCGGCTTCTTCGAAGGCATCTCGGGCTTTCAAGCGAAAGCTTCTCGGAAGGCAGGCATGAGGACTTCTAAGTCCTCTGCCTTCCTTGAAGCGGTTCCCCCCTGGCATCTCCCAATCCATACCGCATCCAGTCAAAGCTGCCCAGCCGTGGCGGCGAAGAGCCTTCAGAAACGTCGCGAGAGCCTCCAAAACGGCATGTCGGCGTCGGCGTCGACGTCGCCGTCGCTGGCGAGAGAGGACGGTCGTGGGCGGGAGACATATCCGTATCTACGGCCTTCACCCCTACCGTTATCCCAGGGCAAGCTTTGGGCGGATTCCACCATGGCGGCACGCATCCATGGGATCCTGTGCCCATGGGATCGCGCCTCGGTATCTGGACCGCGAGGGCATGGACACGGACATGCTCGTTGCTCGCATGCTCGTCGCTCGCCCCGAGCAAAACTCAAGCCGCCATGCCGCCGCCAGAGCCACTTTGCCTCAAGCTTATGTCGGTACAACCCGAGGGCGCCACACAGTGGACACTGGCCATCGCTCGGACGTCCATGCCCTGTGTTTGTTTCCGGTTTCGTGCGTGTTTTTTTCGCCCAAGGATCAAGGATGCTCCTCGATGGTCCCCGCCGAAGGAAAAATCCACACGTCCGAGCGATGCCGAGGACATCGTAGTCACGAGGCCTCGCGCACCGCACATCGGCGAGCGGAGCACGCGGCGAAGAGCACGCAGCCGCGGTCAAGTGCATGCTGCTCGAAGGGGCGCCGTGCCGAGGCCGCGGCGTTCGCGAAGCGCACCAGCGCCGAGACCACGGCCCCGCCGGGGGCGCCCGCGGCCGCGCCCGCCTCTCGGGAGGGGGGGGGGGGGCGGGGCGGCAGCCGCTGCCGCGGGTCGGGCGCCGCTGGGTGCACACCCTGGCGCCGGGTGCCCCGGGGACCGCGGGGTGGACAGCGCGTCGCGCCGAGGCGTGGTGGGCCAAATAAAACAGGGCTAGGATCGGGATAAATCGCTCCAGAGCGTTCCGGAGCGCTCTCAGAGCGTTCCGGAACGCTCTGGAGCGGCCGCGGCACCCAATACATCCTCCAAACCCGCCGATTCTCAGTGACTTCGAATTATCCCGATCCGATGTTGTCCAGATCTTCGCGTCGTTTTACCGAGGCGTGGTGGGCCTGAGCTGGTGGAGCGACAGGCTAAGCAAAGACGTCTCTGCCCAGACCCCGCCTCGGGGGCCTTGAAATTGGCACCAACACCAAGACAGGGGGCACACCGCCGAAATTGGTGTTGGTGTCAATCTCTAGGCCTGCGACCGCCCCCTCGTCCCTGCCCGAGAAAGCGCTATAGGGACAGGCGGGGCGCCGGCCGAAGCTGCAGCGCAGCCTCTCCTGGCCGAGGCGGGGGGCGCCGGCAGAGCGGCCGCGCGCGCCCGTGAGTGCACGTGCGGCCGACGGCGCCGGCCCGAGGGACTTATCCTCGCCGTCGTCGTCGCCGCCGCCGCCGTCGCCGTCGTCGTCGTCGTCGTCGTCGTCGTCGTCGTCGTCGTCGTCGTCTCAGTTGTCGTCGTCGTCGTCGTCGTCGTCGTCGTCGTCTTCGGTCAAGTTATCGATCGAGCGAGGGTCGAGAGCAGGAATGCGAGGATAGGATTTCTCCATTAGCACCGCCTGCGGGACCAGTCATCGAGGACCTCAGCAGGCGGCGGATATAGAAGATACAGCCTACAATAAGATGCTTGACTGTATTATACCCCTCCTGGGCCCGAACATATCCATGTGCATCGCCTGCTGAGGTTCCAGGAGACCGATCTGCCAGCCGGTGGCTATGCCTAAACCCCCGCCTCTGAAAGAACTTTACAAAAATCTACCGTCGGAGGTCTGGGATCCTCGATCCTCCTCGATCCTCGATACTCCTCCATCCTCCTCGATCTTCGATGCCCGAAGCTGGCGCATCCCCCGAAACGCTGCGAGCGTGGGCTGGGCGCAGGTCCGCGTGGGCTGCTCGGGCCAGCCCTGGACCCCACTGAGCGCGCCGGGGGCGGCGCTGCGGCGCCGCAGGGGGGGGGGGGGGTCCGCGCCGGCGTCCTAAGAGACGTCTTCCCATGCCTTCTGGCTGGGCACTTCGAGAGGGAGGAGCGGCAGTCAGGGCGATGCCAAGAGGGGGCGCCGCCACATCCTCCCGAGGACGGGCGAGGAGGACCCCCCCCCCCACAGGACTCCCCACACTCCCCCCGTGAGGCTTCCAAGAGCGCCCAGGCCTCCTCTCCTCCTCATCGACCCTTGGCCCTCAGGAGGAGGCGGCGCCCGCCCCTACTGGAAAGCCGAGGAGGCTCCTTGACAACGAGCCTCCTCCAACGAACGCGTTCCTCCTTCTCCTGCTCCTGCTCCTGCTCCTGCTCCTCCTCGCCCTCCTTCTCCTTCAATGGGCCCACCTCCTCCGAAATTGATCCTGAGTCCTCCTAACTCCTCCTCCTCCTCTTCCTACTCCTCCTCCTCCCTCCTCCCTCCTCCCTCCTCCCTCCTCCCTCCTCCCTC